AACGATGAAGACTCTCCAGACACTGATTCACTAGTTCACGATCACAGAACAGTAGATAACAGGCATGAAGCTGAATTGCAAAATTATGCTGACAACATAGTTGTGTATAATACGTCTAATGATGTAGGCAGTTCTGCACCAGTCATACCTACTAGTTCACAATATGGTCTGGCTATTGTTGATAATTCAGATAGTGGCCATTCTTTAAGTTCTATAAAAAATGAAGATATACATGGTGTTGATGCTAATTCACAAAAGAATGAGTGCGATTTAAATGGTCTTCAAAATAAAAATAGAAATGAGCGATTCAAAGTGGTGAAAATTGAAAGCACTGAACCATTTAAACGTGGTCGTTGGGTGTGTATGGACTTTTTAGACCATTCAATGAATCAACAACAATCAGGTAATAATAAAATACTAATGGTAAATGGTGATAATAAGGCTTATTCTCAGGCAAATGATTTGGATTCAACTGAGCCATTGGATAATGGCCATCATGAAAGTCCTGAGTTTAGAGTCTGTACTAATAATGTCAGTACTTATACTAGTAATTGTAATAACTCAGAAAATTATAAAAATCCAACTTCTACTTATAATATTGTATCATCTGGTGTAACTACTCCTATACATAGTGCTTGTGTGTCTCCTGGTCAAAGTTTACAGACTAATATGCAAATTCCAGTATTAACGAGTCAACCAATTTCAACTTCTGTGCAAGCACCCCAGCCGCAAAGTCTTACTCAAGTTCAATTACCTACTCAACATAATAATATTAATCAGAATTGCATACCACATTCCAGCTTACAGTCTCATCAAATACAACAAGTTATTTCAAATGCCGGAGTAATGCAATCTCAATTACAACAAACTCAACCGGTTATCAATGTTATGCAAAATCAGAACCCATCAATACAAACACAGTCTATTCAGCATATAAATTCTGTAGACCAGAATGTACCCCAAACTATGCCACAACAATATCAACCTATGTCACAGGCAAATTTACAACAACAAATTATGCAGCATAACATATCAGCACAGTTTCAAAAGTCATTTGTACCACAGAGTCAATCTGTTTTACCTAACTGTGCACCTATACAGCAATCAGTTAATCAAATGATTAATCAACAAGTTCCTCAATATTACAACTCTCCACCAGTCCAGTCTCAAAATGTTTCTTCTGAATCTTCAACTACAGTCTCTATGCCTAATCAACATATTGGCCAACAGCAATTTCAATCAATACCTATTCAAAATCACGTACAGCTACAACAAAATCAACAGCAGTTGCCACCCCCTGTGCAACAGATGCAACAACAGCCTAGTCCACAACAAAATATGGTACAACAAAATCAAATGCAATCTCAAATGGTTCAACAAAATCAGCAGTTGTCTCATCAGCCATCTATTTCTCAGCCTAGTCAACCTCAACAAACACAATCCGTTCCTCAACAAAGTCAACAAATGTCTCAGCAACACATTCAGCAACCTCAACAAACACCACAACCACAACCACAACAAACACATGTCCAGCAAGTATCTTCTTCACAACAACAACAACAACAACAACAACAGCAGCAACAACAACAACAACAACAACAACAACAACAACAACAACAAGCACCTCAACAACTGCAACAATTACAAGGACCACAAAGTTCACAAATTCAGCAACAATTGCCTCAACAAACTCATCATATCAATCAACTTACTCAAATTACTAATCAACCACATCAAATGCCTCAATCAAATCAAATGCAACAAATAGCTCAGCAAAGTCAGCAAATTTCACATCAACCTCAACAAATTACATTACAGAGCCAACAAATACCTTTACAGACACAATTACAACATTCTAAGCAAATGCAAACCACTCAAATTCAGCCTCAGTCTCAACAGATTCCTCAACAACAGCAGATTCCTCAACAACAACCAATTAGTCAGAGTCAAATGATACATCAAAATAATCAACAAATAAATCATACAGGGCAAATGATTCCTCAGCAGACTCTTAATCAAGGACAACAAATAAATCAACCAAACCAACAAGTTCAACAGCAACAACAACCTCAACAGCAAATACAACAACAATTGGCCCAAACTAGCCAACCTAGTCAACCAATGTCTCAACAAATTCTACAACCAAATCAAAGTATGCCTCAACAAAATCAAGTAATAAATCAACAATTAGGCATAAATCAATCAAATCCCCAAATGACTGTATCTCAATCTCAAAACCAACAAGTAATTCAACCACAACAGCCACAACACATACAACAAGCAGGGCAGCAATATCAACAACCTCAACAAATGATGCAATCTCAGCCACAACAATTACCAATGCAAAATAATCAACCTATCATGCATCAGCCAACTTATTCACAAGCTCAAAGTTTGAATGCCATGCAACTTCAACAAGCTGTAATGCAAATTCCAACCAACACTGTTACATCCACTCAAATGCATATCCAGCAGCAACAACCAGTGGGTCAATCCAATATGATGCAACAACCTCAAATTACTGTTATGCCACAAAATAACATACAATCCACAATTCCGATGTCCCAACAACAAATGACATATTCACTGCAACAACATGTACCTATTAATCAAAACTATGTTAATAGTATGCAAAATTGTTACATTCCTTCTCAACAACAAATGGCTCCATATAAACCTTCAATGAAAACTGTAGAAACTGTCAACAAAAAAAAAGAAGACAATAATACTGAAGATGTTGATAATGGAACCACTAATAGTGCAACTACTACTGTTGCTATTGATAACAAAATTGAACAAGCTATGGATTTAGTCAAAAGTCATCTAATGTACGCTGTGCGTGAAGAAGTAGAAGTATTAAAAGAGAAAATCGCAGAACTAATGGATAAAGTTGGACTACTAGAAACAGAAAACTCTAATCTTAGGATGCTTGTACCACCAGACATGTTAGAACAATACAACCGCGAAAAACAAAAATCTACCAATGGTCAGTCAACTCATAATCAATAGGCTTAAGTTTAAACTATTTGGTAATTTATGATATACCAAATAATGTAAAAAACAGTGATGTGTACAGTTTGTTATCTTTATTAGTTTGATTTGTACAGTGTAATATTAGTAAAGACTTTGAATTTAATCATTTTATTTTATTAGCTAACTATGTAGCTAGGTATGTACTTTTATATATTTTTTGAATATGATGATGTTTCAAATCAAATAAGCCCAAAGTTATAAAATATTCAAGTGTTAAGTATTTTAGGATATGAATGGAAGCAAGGACACTATTATACTTTATTTTGTTCATTTATACTTTTCATAAAATATTGTTTTTAATGTGTTTATTTTTTAAGACTGTTTATAATTAAAACAAGTTCAAAATTTAAGTCAAGATAATGATTAATTTATTTTTTAATTATGGTATACGATTATACGAGGTACATTATGTCCTTGCTTTGTGATGTGCAATTGTTTGCGAATTTAAATGTAAACTATATTTTAAGATGGGAACTGACTGAATAAAAAACAATTTTTGGTTAAATTTAAATGATAATATTTTTTAGGTGTGCAGAAAAAATAATGATAGTTATTAATTTACACTTCAACTGAATATTTTGTATAATACTCAGTATAATATGAAAGTTCATATAAAAGACATTTTTTGATTGTAAATTAGAATAAACTATAACTTATCTGATAAATTATTTAACTATTAACAACATTTAAATATGAACAATTTAAATTAAATCATACATGATAAACATATCATTGTTACATTTGTTAGTTTATTATAAAGAATTGTATTCTTTATAAAAAATATTTATTCTCTTACGTGTCTATAAAAAGTGAATAAAAATATACAGTATAATACACTATTTTTGGAAATGGATATAACCATTAACCAGTATTGTTATTATTATCTCTGTTACTAGATATTTTTACTAAATTTAAATTGTATACTTATTTTTACAATACGCTGGCATCTAATCACAATTGTAGTCAATAACAAAATTGTTGCTGTCAAAGTATTAAATTTATTGATAATTTTTAGTCTTATAAGTTATAATGTATGTTTTCTTCATATCTCTGTATTGCTCATGATTGTGGTTTTCTGAGTCACTAACAGTGAAATATTTAAAAGAAAATACTCAAATTTTAAATTATGAAGTTCTTGACACAGGTAGTAAAAAAAATTATTTATAGAATTTTGTATTAAATACTCAAATATTCTTATAATTCTCTGTTAAACGCCTTTCAAACTATTTAAAGTATATTTCAGTTATTTAAATAAACATTGACTAAATTATATTTTAAAATATAATAACCAATTAAACAAGAACCATTGTTTAAAACTTTTATTACTGTTTATGATTAAAGAATGTTTTATTTTTTTGAGTACATTATTTCCTATAGATAACAGCATTTGAATTGTATTTTAAAAATTTTTACAAGAAAAGTATTTGAGTATTTACCCAAAATGCCCGTTTTTTAAATTACTGACCACTAGCTATGTATAAAATAAATTAATAACTGTTTTTATTTATTTTATTAATTTCCTACTACATATTATTTAATAGGCACCAGACATGTTTAACACTTAATCATTAAAATATGTAATTATTGTGTAATTTAATATGTAATTAATATCATTATGGTAATTTATTTTATATTAGCTGTCTAGGCTTCAATATAGTTTTAAAATATATTTTTATTAGCTTGCTGTATAATGTGCAAAGATTTCTATGTATATTTTATTTGTTTCAATTATTATGAATTGTGATAGTTTCAATATATACAAAATTGATAAGGCTTGTGAATGTATACCTAATATTTATATATTGAAGATATTTGTTTTTGCCTTTTCAGTTCAAGAATATATATTCTTCTTTTTATACTCCTACTAGACAATATATATTATAATAAATAAATAACTAATTTATGATAAAAAAAAAAAAATTATGAGTATTATTATTTTTAACTTAGATATATATTCTATAGATTACTTCAGACTGAAATGAATTCCAACGTTGTGTGACATCTAATTGAATGTCATAACTTAAAAAACTTAATTTCATTTCTTTTTTTACCATAGTTTCTTGATCAATTTTTCTGTTGATTATTATTATTCCAAGTCCAAGCTGAAATATTGCACTGATTATCATAACACCACTAATCTATATTTAAATTAAATATACAAGTATAAATTATTATTATTATATTCAGGTACTTACTAAGTAGTGATAATTTATATTAAGGAAAAAAAATAATAAAGGATGAAAAGTAACAAGCATATAATATACACTACTTATATAACTATTTAAAGTGGTATACCTATTTTCATGGGTAAGTATGATTTTGGGGAAGTCATAATCTAATCTTTGAGACGGGAACGAGCTCACCCCTAGGTCTTCATAATTTTTTTGAGTATGTTATTTTATTAATTTATCACATACCTATTATATTTATTGTCGATATCTCAAAAAATAAAAAGGAAAATTTAGACTTCCCTCTTAGAAATAAAACCCATGAAAAAAATACTTAAATAATATATAAAATTATGTATATATCATATAGACTGCACTCATTACAAACAATTTTTATCAAGGGGTTATTTTTTCCGGTATTATGATTTAAAAATAATATACTATTTGGTAAATCAATATCTTTAAAAATTTTTTTATTAATGTAAATATTTGAATACAAATTTATTATTTTATGTGTTTAAGTTCATAATTTTTATTGGTGAGTTATTTATAAATAGATAATATAATATATTACACATCGTATTGTAAGATACAAACATTATTACAAAAAAAAATTATTTTCAATATGAATTTATGTACTTGAAGAAGTATAATATTTTATTTTATTTAAATTTATAGAAAATATGTACAAAAAAATGAAACTTTTTTTTTCATATAATATTAAAAAATGTATTTATTTTTATTTTTAATTATTAATTAATATCATATTTTTTTTTTTCACATTTTATACATTTTATTACAATTGATATCTAATTATCTTCTTTATGATAATCAAATACATACATAAATATGAACTTTTCTTTTCATTTTGGCTCTTCCATATTTATTGATATATTGGGTGGTTCATAGGTCTCTTCATGCTGCCCACCCCTGGTATATTATCTATACTCATAAAAATATAATATCTTTTTACCTACTGTATGATATACAAAGAAATTGAACGGACTGTAATAGCCTATTATTTAATTATTGATAAATAGGTAAAGTATGTGCATATGGATTATAGGTACATATATAAATGTATAGTGTATTAAAAAAAAATAGATTCAGTTGGTACCTTATTCGTTGATATAATTTGAATACATAATGAAAAATTTATAAATTTATTACAATAATTTTTACATTAACTTACACAATAGCAAAGTTGTTTACGTATAGTTAAAGCACTATATAATGCACATATACACGACAAAATCATTAAAAAGCCGCTGTATAAGCATAAAAATATTGTCTTATTTGATTCTAAATTGAGAAACGTTCTTGTGATATCCAAATTTGATATAAATTTGTCAGATGTTTTCATTAAAATAATTGAAAATATCTAAATCAAAATAAACAATATTTACATTTATGTTTATATATTATCATAATTAGTGATTAAACTACCTACGTTTTCGATAAAAATTATCTATAGATAGACCATAGTTCTATAGTTACTTACAATATTTTTATACATAGGTAATTCAATAATTGTGTAAATAATGATTAAATTTTACCCTGAATAAACGGGGGTAAGTGAGTACCACTCTGCTATACAATGGTACCTACAACCTATCGAGCGAGTCTATATTTGTGTATTTCTCAGCGGAGACGATCTACCAGCATTATCATTTATCATTTATCAGTAAGTAGGTATATTTTGTGTGTTGTTTTTTGATATTTCTAGCGATAAAGTGATTTATTTTACTATTATTAATACTGCTATATAATACAGTAGATTTATAAAATTAACTTAAATTTCTAGAAGAGCCTGGAACAATTAGTGCCTTAATATTTAGATAGTGCCTCTACGGCTCTACATTGTTTTTATTCTTATTGTTAATCAAAGACTGTGAATATTTATCAATATACTTGTACAGTTGGTACATATAGAATCAAGCTTAATTATGTAAATAAGATATCAATGCGTTGAATCTGTATATGTGTCAGCATGTTTTTAAACTTGAAAGTAAAACTTTAAATTCTTTAAATTCATCATATATGAAATAAATATAAAAACAATCATGTATAAAAATATGTAAAAATTACAAAAAAATGAAAAAGAAAACTCTTGGTTTAATACTTAAAAATTAATTATGCAATAATATTATTATGTGTAGGTACATACATACATTTATTTTTGTCTTATTATATGATAATTATAATAAAAAAAAAGATTATAAATCGATTCTCTTGTTTTCCATACCTAGCTTTGAATTCGTCATTCGTCAATTTCAACTCTAGATGCTATTCTGGTTCAGTGAACATTAATAAATAATAATAGATCATTTAATCGGACTTGGTGCATTGTATTCCTCGATTTATATTTTACTATAGTGAATTTCGAAAAAACCCGTCCGTAGGTAGGTAAAACCTGTGATCAATAGGTATTACGCTATACTATTTTAGTTTTTAGTATGGTGAAAAATCCATCATTATTAAGTCTATTTGGTATATGGTTACTAATCGAGCATATAGCACAAACTTATACAATTATATAATTTTATATGCATTATTATAAATTATAAATTATAACCAATACAATGTTCGGTGTCACACTGTTACGTCAATTCATTGCGGCTAAATGTATCGTGCGTCAGTTCTCCGTGGTCATTTTATCGTGACGTCAATTTATCGCGTGGTAAGTTAATCGCGCGACAATTTATCACGTTAGGTTAGTATTTTATAATTTCTGAACTCTGCCAATGTTAGCCGTCGTAGTCTTATGAGTCAAATCGTCATTTTAACCGTCATGTATTTATCGAGTAAGCTCATTTATTATTGTTTGTTTTTTAGTAAAATTATTCTATTATAGCTTTATAAAAATTGAGATAGAGAAAGGTATGTTTTGCTACAATGGCTATATTTTTTTTAAAAAAAAAGGAAAATGATACAAAGTCCATATGGAAATTTAATCAATAATCTAAAAATAAATGTTGCGGACTACTTTACCTAAGCGAACGAAACATATTAAAAATCACTGACCATAATCACCAGGGCTGTGAATTTATAAGAAAGTGCATTTTTTTTTGGTGATTGTAAAACATAGCTTTGTAAGTACATAATTTGAATTATGTAATTACGAATCCATCTATGAAACTTTTATTTTGCATATTTTTGCATTTTTTGACGTTTTTAATTTTTTAGGTCATTTTTTCGCATTTTTAGGTCATATTTTGCTTTTTTAGAATCCTTTTTTTGCATTTTAAGTGCATATTTTATTGAATTTTTTGGAATTTTTAATGAATTTTTTAAGGTTTTTTAGTGCATTAAATTCATAGCCCTAATAATCACGTTCCGAGTTTATCAGACATTGAGGTAAAAAAACACTTAATAATCTATAAGATATAGCCAGTAACAGGTAATAGGTTCAGCACTTACATAATCAAATCCCTATTGAATTGACTTGCGGTGGTTTGACCGCGGTCATTTAACTTGAGATGAATTTATAGCTGCAGTATTATTTATTCGCATTTAGTTCGCCTCCAATTATATTTATATATCTTTAGACTAGTGTATTATAGAAGTGTTGGAAAAGAGTTGGTGTTAAAAAACAAAATTACATATATTGATCGGGATATTGTTAAGTATCGGAAAAACTTTACAGGCTTGTATATGGGCTGTTTGGTATTGCGGAAGAGGGTAGAATAGTAATAATAACTAATAAGTAGGTATCTAATAAAATACCCTTCAAATGTTTAAAATTATGCCTATTTATTTTTATTATTATTATTTATTATATTTCAATGAAAACTACTTGTGTGATCTAGTATTAAATTTTCAAACTCTTTGACCAAGCGAAACATTTTTTATTAACATTTATAGAAATAAAACTCACTATCCCTGGTAAATTTGGATTACAAGAAACAATTCTGAGTGGAAACGATTTATCATTTTATCTCACCAAATGCCTATAATTAACTCGAAATAGTCTAAATATTCGAAAATTTTACTGTAAATACTAAATAAGAAACTATTATATATATATATATATATATATATATTGTGATCTTTAGGTCTTATTATAATGGGTAATGTATCATTGCCATCATTGCATCATTATTGTTCAATATTGTATTTGATATTAAATGCATAATGCAAAATGCAACATGTAGGTACCTAAGTATACCTACCTACAGTCTACATGCAACAAGGAACCATAACAAAAATATTGTGTTGGTAAAAATAACGGTTATGATAGCGTGTGTATTGGATAGAGAGGTTATCTGTAAATCTTACATCCCCTCAGGAATATAACTAACCTGCACTACTCGAGAAGTATAATATAACATAAGGTTTATCTCATCTATACAAAATATTATATCTATTTTACTCACGCTCACCATTAAAAAAACGTTTGAATAAAACATTATTGATGGTTCAGTGTACATAAACACTATTAGAGCTTTCCATTTTTCATTTGCACGACGACTATCCAAATATCTGCTATCATCTGAAGTCACTGAACTATAACCTTCAAACGACAACGAGGACATCCTTATATTAAGCGTATTTTTATTATCGGCTATAGGCTGTTGTGGTAATCGTTGACTTTGATTATCCTCATTATTGTTTTCATCTGTAGATAACGGTTGCGCTATATGAGCAGACGAGGTCCTTTTCCTTTTAATTCTTCTATTAAGTTCTACTTCTTCTAATGGATGTAAACTTGTTCGTCTTTGGCTGATAACGTCAGATGATTGTGGAGTTGTATTTGGCAAGTCATTTGGATTTTGTGAAACTAAGAAATAAAATTATTCAAGTGTTCCAGTCATCGTCGACTTTTCTTATTCGGTACTTTTATAAGTGATTATTAGTTTAAATTGTTTGAATTTGTGTGTAAAATGTAAGTATTAATTTGATTGAATTATCACTAAAAATTAGGTAGACTTTATAATTACTATTTTTAAGTTATAATTACCATTTTGATCAAAATCGGGTGTTTCGTATATTTGTTGACTAATATAATTTTCATTATTATCATCATTTTGCTCTAAAGTATTTGAATCATTATCGCTCATGATTCTTCTTTATTATAATAAAAAATTAATACAATTATTGAGGCTTAAATTAAATTTCCTTTAGGATCCCAAATAATATATAATACTAATGTGTTACTTAGAAACATAAAAATATACATAATACCTATATAATTACTCTACTTGTATATTAGATAACACATAATACTTAAATCACTAATCACTATTATTAGTATTTAGTATTATTTATAAATTCACACAAATGTACATATTAGGTTCATATATTATAATATATTATTTATTATTATATTAACCTATTTAAAAAATAATTATGATAAAATCTAACTTTATTTTTCAATTATTAAACATATTTTACCTATCGGCTATCAGTTTCTATAAACTTTCTTACAATTTTATACACATATATGATATAGGTATATTTTATTATACATATTTTTATTTATAATTTATATTTTATTGATGATTGACTGTTATTATTAATTATCTAGTATGTTTACTACATGGTTGGTTTTATAGATAAGTTTTGACCTCTATCTGGTGAAATAGGTAATCTAATTATTTTTTTATTACAATAATATAGAGCACAGACTGAATTTGACTTAAAATTAAGCTCAAATTATAGTATCATTTGATGTTGATTATAAAATAAAAAACAATAATAATAATATTAGGTACGTGCATACCGAGTAAAATTTCATCAGTTATTATTCAGTCGATGAAAAGTTTTCAAATAATTAAACGCGGGGTCCACATTGCAACTTGCAAGATACTTAGACACAAAAAAGGATAGTGTAAATAGAGTTGGATAAATGGGAGGGGTAAGAGAGTATAATCTAGGACTCCTAAAAAAGGGCTCCTCTAATTATCAATAAACAATTACGTATAAAAAATTTTTTTTTAATAATAGGACCAAAAATGGAATATCCCAAGGCTACTTATCACATTTAAATTTGGTCCTGGTCATATAGATTAGATAGAGGAGACTTAAATAGCTTAACAGGTAGTTAGACGAAGACAATGGAATAAAGAAGAGAGAAGTGTATGTAGTATGACAAAGTTAAATTTTAAAATGTATTTCTTAAAAAAGGGTAAGACAATCAATGAATGAGTTAAATAAAAGTTTAGTAACAAATGATATATATATATATTCATAATGTGTTAACGATTATCAAGACTGGATTATGTTTAAAACTTAATATAAGTAGTGTCACAATCATGTGGAGGAATATAGTCTTACTTATATGTATCTTATAGCGCTTATGAATTATTGTGTACCTAAAGTAAATTATAGCAACTACCTATATAGTCTGTAATATTAGTGGCGTTGATGTCATATGAAATACCAGCAGCAAATTTCTTTATAGTACAGTGCAGGGACGGTCAAACTTTTTTCGGCCGCGATATACTGAAAATATATTTCACCTTTGAGGATTGACTTCGATAAAAAAGTTTTTATTATTAGTAAGTTACTATACCACCATAATTAATTTTTGTGTGCGTAGCCTAAAAATAAATTCTGGCACGATCGACTTTAAAATCGTTTGCGATCGACTGTTTGGCTGCCCCTGGTATAGTGCCTACCTAACATCCACTCCATCCTACCAAAAATTCATTAACTCTCTTATTTTACAACTTTAAACAAATTTTCGAATCTCTCTTAAGATATGATGGTTCAAAGCCTGGTTTTTATCAATATCTTTTTGTATAGAGCTTAAAGTCTCTATACCCACTTGTTTTAATTACCTATGGCATTTATATCACGGTTGAACTATAGAATTGGCGCACTGGAGCCAACATTTAAACGGTAAACTTTAAACCTATCAATATCAAATATAAATTATAATATTAATAACTGAATAACAGATGATTGGATTCTTACCATAATATTCGGAAATATTGAAAATACATAATATGGATACTTTTTTAACTTTTTTTATACACACATATATATATATATATACATTTTTATTGAAGTTATTTTTGATGTAATATACAAAAAACAATATTTTTTCTAATTGTTTTAGTTATTTTATCATACTTACCCAATTGAAAAAATATTAACCAAACAATTATTATCTGTTTGTAAGAGTACCTAGGTAATTTTTGGATTCCATTATCTTCTTGTAAAATTTAACTGGGCATCACTGTAGATTGAGCTCTATATTTTAGCCAATCCTAATTTTTTTTTAACAAATACAAGTTTATCTTTTTGAGCTATTACCTATCATAACTCAAAAGTTATACATATCCAGTCTTTAGTCTTTACTATGTACATTAAGGTGATCCCTAATTAGTAATCAGCTGTTTAATACTCACCTAAACATATTTTATAAGTAACTATAGCCTGAACATACGTATTGTAATAATTTTTATGATTTTTATATTGAAAATTTTTATATTCAAAATGTAATTAGCCCAGACGTGAATAACGACTCCAACTATAAAATATTCTAGATAATTAAGTACTATTTGTTGACTACCTAATCAATTAAATCAATATTTACCTACAAAATTTCTGTCGTTATACATTTTATTTGTGAACATTTTTACAAATGTCTACCAAAAACATAAATAATTTATAATATATTATAAATATATATAATATATATACTAAATATTTTTGAATTGACACCTTATCATGAAATAAGAAAAGTCACTCTCCAATAATTAATTTATATAATTATATATATTTTAATTTGAAAAATTGAAGATGCTTCAAAAATCGGTAGGAGTTTTTCGTTTTGGCATGTCTTTTATACCATATGATAATGTGTATTTATGTATATTGTGTTTAAAATATAATGCGTATAATATATTATTACGTATATAATGTATACCTAATAGTTACTCAACACAAATTAACACAGTAAAAACAATAAATGTTACATACTTTATATGTTTAACTTATATTATCTGTTTTAAAAAATCTAAAAATATTGAAATGGTGTTTTGTCAGGAAAACTTTAAGAAAATTTACTTTATATGTATTTATAATATTTAATACCCCTCAAATTATGGATAAAGAGATAGAGAGTAGATACCAATAAAAATGTTGAAAAATATTTCTAATCAATGTGGAACACTTAATTTAAATCCACAAGATTATTTTGTCATTCATTTCATATTCTCCTGTATTAATATAATAAATATAGTAATAATTTATATTGTATTTAAAACGACGAGTACCTACCTAATTATCACGTACTCAATGATACTTCTTTAGACTTTAGAGTAAACATTGAATTCAATTCTATACTACGTCACGTCTTCACCAATATAATATGTTATATAGTATACGCTGCTGCGTTACAGATGAATCATATATATATATATTGTATATTTTATGTAATAAACAAAAAAATGTATTATATTATTGGCAGCTGCAATGAGTCGAAATGCAAGCTAATGATGTATAAAATACTATCATGCAGTTGGCGAATGACACTTGTTCAAATACTCTAAACAAAGGAAACGTGTTACGCGATAACACTTTTCCGTGTCATATTGCTTATCGTTTATAATTGTATTAATATTGTAATAAACAATACTCTGTTTGATTTTATACTTTAGAAAGTTACCTACCGTTTTTGAAATATTATAATAAAATTGTAATTATATATAGTTAATAAATTATCTTATATTTATCTATATCGCCGGATTACTAAAATCATGTTGAATAAAGCATCATTAGCAATCAAATACTTGTTATTTGTCTTCAATTTGATAATATTTGTGAGTTTATTATACAATTTTGATTTAAAACTTTTGCAATAGCTAAATATGAATATTTTATTATTGTATTAAAGTAAATAAATAATATATTATGTTTATGTATGTATATATTGTATACAAATAGTTAATGCCTAAATGTATGAGCACTAGATCTATGTTAAATGTTCATAATTTTATAAAATTATTTTCCTTATAGCACAAATAAATTAAATTTAAAAAAATTATCATAAATAGATATACAATAAAATAAATATGTACCTAGATAATAAATATATAATTTAAAAAAAAACCTTATTATATATACATACAATAAAACTAATCTATTTAAGTTAAATAGGTAGGTTTATTAGGTTTATATCTAAAATATATATTTATATATTGCGTCAAAATACATAAGAATTAAGTAACTAGAAATAAAAATTGTTGTTTTAAATTACTATTTAAGATGACAATCTAAACAAATCTATTATATTATGTACCTACCTTAAAAAAATCAAAAATTTAAAAACATTTTATACATAAAGCCATGTAGATAGGTTTATTAGGTTTTCATTTTTGCAAACTAATAAGTTTTTTTAGTATTTTGTTAATAAATTTCCCAATAGATAATATGTTTGTAAAATGTTTATACCTATTATAATACTTTATGTAAGTGCAAGTATGTAGGTACTAAAATATAGCATGCATATTTTATTTTTATAAATCTTTGAAAGTTTGAAACATTCTTTTTAAACCTTAAAAATGTAATAAAAATATTATACCTTTTATATTTTAATCTACTAATGTAGGTATACTATTTTTTATTATGAAGTAAATTGCGTTTAAACGATCTATAAATATACATTCGGATCTCTGTGCCAATACGCAATACCGATTAAAGGTGCCTACGCTGCAATATTTATAATTTTAAACCAAAGTAATTTGTATGAGATAATATAAATATTATCGGATTGTAATAACATATAAAATTATTAATTTTATTAATAACAATAACTAATTAAATATTTATACGCATTTAAAGCATACATACAATATCTACTTATTTATTGTTCAAAGGTTAAAAGTGTCAAAATTAATTAATATTTAACACACAACGTAGTCTTGCCAAAATTATAATTACCTTATATTTAAAATAATTATCATTAAATATTAAAATAATAAAAGAAATTAATAATGTAGGACGGTATTCAATTACAACAGCTAGCATAATGTATTAATTTGATTTTTAAATATTAATTATTATTTACTTACAAATTTATGTTGACTATTTTTTAATATTTTTTATTTTTTTCAATTAAATTTATTATATTGGTAGTTGGTACTTTTATAGTTTTAAATATGCATACATATATAAATTATTAATTATTATTAGATAATAGGATTGAACTATTAAAGAAATCATTTTATTCGCATCATTAGATTATTGTTATACCGATAAACAATATGTTCAACTTAAAATATTTTAACACTTTATATTTCAACCGGATATAATCATAGATTTTAATAAGTATATTTTTAAAAGACAAAGGATACTAAAATGAACATTCAAGGTTAAAAAAAATAATTTTAATAAGCTTATTTTGACTCACTTACCCTCCATAAATGGCCCTTCTATCGGCTTTCCATTTGAAAAAAGAGATGTGAATTTTAATGTAGACAAATTTGACTTATGTTCTATTTAGGTACCTAATTAAAATTATTAGTTCTCACTAATAATATTGAAATATGATAAAGAAAAAAAAAGTTTTCTTTTCAATTAATTAAAAATAAAACACTTTTTTAAAGCCATAAACTACTACGGATCAGTCAATTTTTGAGATTTAAAAATTTTGTATTGGTTGCCGCCTGAAAGTAAAACTAGGTACTTGGAAAATTTTTTTTTTTTTGCTATAAAAATATGTGTTTCTTTCTAAAAAAATAATTTTTTATGTACATGCGTACACCAAAAAGGTTAAAATTTTGAAAATTGATTCACCATTATTATTATTTTAATATAGTTAATCCGACAGAAATATTTTGAGTTAGATAGATAGATGTATATATATATTATACTGTTTAAATGAATTAACTATAGACCATTAGTATTGCTCATTAAATCTTATTGGGTTTTCATATTTAAAATCGGTTAATTATTTTAACTAGACATATTGAAAAAGAAATACAATTTTTATAATTTTTATAGTTAAGTGGAATTTTACTTTTATCGGTTGGACTATCAATTCACAACGTTTATAATCAATATGAACAATTTTTAACAAAGCACTATTTTACTGTGCCGTCTTTACTGATTATTGTGGGTCTCACAGTTCTAACAGTATCATTTTTTGGATGCTGTGGCACATTAAAGGAAAACAATTGTATGATGACTACCGTGAGTGCAATATAGTTACCTTTTATATATTTATAACATGCAATTTACATCAAGTATTTTATATTTTTGTGTTTTTTAGTTTGGATTTCTTTTAGCATCGTGTTTTATAATGGAAATCTTGGGCGGTTTAGCTGGGTTTATATTATTGGAAAAAACACATTCTGTTGTAACTTCAAAACTACACGAAACTATGATGTTTTATAACCAAACAACGTACATAACACATATATGGGACGGACTTCAAACATCTGTAATGTCAAACATTTACATGACTTTTTATGCATAACAATGAAAAGGCGTATAGGTATATTGATTACAACATTTATTGTTTAGACATCTTTGAAATTAATAATTAGGCTGTTAAAAATTCATAAATGTAATTGTATAGGTATCTAAGGTTTATTTCAATAGTGAACAGGATTTTAGAATAGGTACTTGATATAATGCTCAATTTCTACCCTTATTAAAATTAAAATAATTTATTTTCTGGTAATTCCAATAATTTAAGACACTATTATTTTTACTTTGAGTTTTTAGTACTTCTATCGTAAATATTATTTAGTATTAATTACAAATATGCTCATTAGTCATTATAAACCAGAGTTGTGCAACATTTTATCTAGATAATTATTCGAATAATTGTGAAAAACTTATTGTACAATAATTTATTCAGATAAAATGTTATTTAAATAATCATCTAAAACCAAATTCATTCAAATAACGCCCTATTTTGTCATAAACCTGCAATTTTCAAGCCATAATAATTTTTAGTGATACAATATAAAATTTTTTTTTATTGATCTTATTTTAATCCCGGCAACTAAGGCCATTAGCTATAGAAAGAAACAGTAGGTTATTTTTTGTGTAGGGTTTATAAGGTTGGAACACGTGTGTATGTGCGTGCGCTATGGATTCGTCACTAAGAAACTGGGTGGTCACCCATTCGAGACCTAGTGACACCGGCCGATGCTTGATCTCAGAACACATTAGAATATAAATGTATTTATTTTATAAGTTAAATACAATATTTAAGATTTTTTATGTTTTAAGTTTAATTGACAAGTACACTTTTCTATATTTACAAGTTACAACCCATTTGAGTAAGTGGGTACTATAAATATTTGTAAAATAGATATTTACGCTAAAGTAGATAGCACCTATGAATTTAATAACACGTAGTTAGTCTCTAATAATTTTCAATGTTTATTAAATGTTTTAATGTCCTATAATTTTCAATATTAAAGGTAAGTACTTAAATATTTGTTCAAAATTATTGATTGATTGTTTCCTACAACTCAAAATAATCGATATTAACGAAATTTAAATATCAAAACTTTTATTTTTCAGGATGATTCGTAGCAAAAATATTATAACTTTGGGTTTTACAATAAGTACTATTTACTTTTAACTCTATGGATTATTTTTAATGTAGTAAAGTTTCGTACAATTTTACAGTTATACCTATTACCTATACATTTTAGCATTTCACACTTGTAATTACTAATTGTACAATTAGCACCCTTTAAGGATTAATCATTTGTTTATTCCTAAATATCCTCTATAATTTATGGTATTTATCTATAGGTAATTACCCAAGTCTGTACTCTTCACTAAAAATAATTGGATAGAAGAGGGGGAGTTAAACTCAGCCTCCCAAGTAAAGCTTTATAGGTATATTAGAAGTTAAAACTTACACATTTTAAGAAGACATTTTTCAATATTTTGAGTATTTTCTAACGTGATATGAAAAAAAACTCAACTAATTCGGTATTTTTTTATAATGTAATGACTTATCAATAGTATTAACAACTACTACTCAGATAATCATTATTACACAGGTTTTTTAATACATATTTAAAATATCTAGACCGGAAATAGTATAATATGATTGCAGTTAGTTAATATCTTGCTAAATGAAACACATTTAAAATTGAAATTAAATACGCCTTTTTATAGAAATTAAATCAAATTTGATCATTATCTAAAATAATAATTTAGTTTTTTTGAAAATCTAATAATAATACAAGTTTTTAAAATATTGATTTCTTTAATTTTTATGTAAAAAAAAGTTACATTGTTGTGGAGCTGAGAAATTGGATGACTGGTATCCTATACTTGAAGACAAGTTACCTATGTCTTGTTGTGGATCATATGATGGAGCAATAGATCATCAAAATTGTACAGCATCTGAACCGACTATTTACAAGCAACCATGTTATGTGTCATTATCAAAAATTGTAAAAGAAAATGCCAGTACGTTAAGTGGTGTTACTATAGGAATAGCTTTTTTTGCAGGTTTGACAAATGATATAATCATTATTAAAAAATATATCATAGAAAATATTAATACACATTTTTGCAGTTAGTGGGTATAATGCTGTCGTGTTCATTATCAAAGTCTATTCAAAAAAGTTATAAACAAATTTAAAATCACACATACCTTCAAAATACTCAATTAATATATTATTTTTTTTATAAAAATATGAAGACATAAATATGTAAATTATAAAATATTATGTTTTATTTATAAATTATATTATATATTTATATACCAAAGATATAAATTTATTATTACATGTAAATTCTTTATATATAAAAACTTGTTAAAAATAAATGTATTTAAGTGGTGCCGATTACTATTTAATTTAAGTAGGTAATGCTATATAGCGGATGATGATAGTCCATAGGATATAGGCGTTTAAGTTATAGATATTAACTGAATATAAGTACATGCAATTTTTCCAATGTTTTAGTGTAATAAGTTTTTTAATGTTTGCTAATTTCTTTAGTCACAGATTTTATTTTGACGCTATACCATTTAAGACAGACATTGACGTCACTGCATATTGATTAGTATGCTACTTTATACAACAACTTATGAATATTTAGCAACTAATTTTTATTTAATTAATAAAGTTATTACATCAATTATCTGAATAGTAAAAATTGTTCAGTATATAAGATGGATATTTGAATTTTGTATAATCAATAACAATATTAATTTAATAGTTTCCAATATTATATTATAAAAGTTGTATTCAACTTTATTGTTTATAGAATGTAGAAAAATATTTCAAATAGTGATAATAGTTCAAATATTTCAAAGACATAATATGTTGTACTAAAATCATCAAAAATATATACACATTCAATTTCAAATAAAATACTTTAATTTTACCAAAAACATTTAGCTTTTTGTAATATATCACAGCCCTCAGTATATTTTTCTCCGCCTTTTAAATAAGGCAGCGTGAATTCTCTATAAGCAATACATACTCTTCTTTCATGAATATCTTCTCTGAGTATACAATGTTCCCATAAATATCTAGGTTTTCCATGTAAAACTAAAAGTGATCTTCTTGGCATTAATATTCGCACAACATCAATTGGATAATTAACACGATTTACTGGAATAGGCAAATACTCAACATTAGGTATATAGTCTATGTTATACTGATTACTATATTTGATGTTGTGTGGGGTTAAAGTAAGTACAGTATCAGATTGTAAGCTTAATGTTACAATCCTTTCACCCCAAATCCAGCAATCATCTACATGAGGATCAATTGATGCACCCGTTTCTGGTCTGTATTCCAATGAACACTGTTCTATTGTAAAATAATCTTTCATAATTGGAATTTGATCAAAACGATCTTGAACAAACTTTGTGGATAATGGGAAACCATTGAAATTTCCCATTGACAAACGACGCTTTTTGAAGTTACACTTTGGTCCAAAGTTCTAAATAAATATACACATATTTTTATTTAAATTAATTAAAATTAAAATAAAATGTACTTACTTGTTTTCTACGACCGCTTTGAGATACTTCCCAAGGCATAACATCTAAATTATTTATAAGCATATTTTCTTCTTCTTCCGTGATAAATTCATGTTCAATAAAAATGCCATCTAAATTGTATGATGTACCAGTATGATTTGGATGGTTTTTATACTCATATTCATTCCAACCACTCCATAATAAATTGCAGTGCAAACAATAAGATGCACTAGATAATTTCTAAAAATTAAACTATATAATAAATACAATATAAAATAAAATAAAATTGTGTATAGTTACTAACTTTTAAACTTGCAGAACTAACAGTAGGAGTTAAATTAAATTCTTTTTCACATACGAAACAAGTTCTAACTCCTTTACATCCACACAGTTTAGATCTGTCCATCTATAACATATAAAGTTTTATTTAATTATTATTGGTCTTAAATTTTAAATGTATTTGAAAAATAAATTAATAAAAATTGTAAATTTTAGTGTTTCAGTTACATAACTACTACACAATTCAAATATAATAAACCTAGAGTAAATCCATCTTATTAAGTCAATTGACTTATACATTAAATATTTAGATTTATTATATTGCATTATATAACCAATCACTATTAGACATTAGTAATTATAATTTAAATTTTCTCAAAAACTATATAATATAACTAATAAATATTAATTTTATTTAGAACAGTACCTACCTTTACCTAATTAGTTGTTTAAAATTTAGTCTTTTTTGAAAAATATTAAATTATGATGTTATAGTTATAATTATAAGTCTGATATATAGTTTAATTTAATTACATTTATTATGATATTGAACATATATTTTTTACATAAATTCTCCTTATAATTTTATCATATTTTATAATTAAATACTATAAAAATTAAAACCAAACAGATATTATTTAAAATAAAGTTACTATTAAAAGAAAATGGTGATAAATACAATATTTTTTAATATTAGGAATTCAGACTCAAGACAACGTTACAGCCATTTTCATATTCTAAAATAATTGAATACAATTTTTTTATCTTCAATCTTAACTTAATTTTTAAATTCAAATTTAGACATTAAAATTGGTAGGCTAATTATTATACAAAAATATATGATTAATTAGAAAATATACAGCCTTAACAGTTTTTAACATAAATATTTATTAAACTTTTAATTCATACATATTGTTTCCTTTTTTAATTATAACTGCTTCATTGTTCAATAAGTCTATTATATTGTAGAAATCAAAAGTAGCAATGTTTAACTGTTTTGAAAATAGCTTCATTTGATCCATACTAAAGATTCGTTCTGTTTTACCATGTCTTTGTAATTCAGCTAATAATTTCCTTGATTGAGCTCGAATTCCTGTTTTTTTTATACTTTTCTTAAATCCAAATCCACTAAATTCATCACATTGAGTTTTTACAAGACTAAAATTAATTAATTCAATTACTTCATACGCATCTTTTGCAGTCACTTCTTCTCGAAGTTCTACTTTAGCACGTGCTTGTGCAAGTCTAATACATGACTCTAATTGTCTTACAGTTATTGGAATACCATAGCTTAAATTGTTAGTACGTAGTTCAATAAAAAACTGTTGCAACATTTCTTTGGCTTCATTTGACAGAGTTGGAGACGAAACATATTTTCTCGCATAAGCTATATATTTACGTAATTCTGCTTGAGAAATATAATCGTTACTTTTGCTAAATTGTGAAAATCTTTCTTTTAATGAACTATTTATTTCATCAGAATTGGTCATATTTTGAGTTTGCTTCATCTTATTTGTATGTATATTAAGCACATGTTCAGTTAGATGTTTATCAGTCAACTCATTGGGTGTATCTATCAATAAAAAAATTAAATCAAAACGGGATAACATTGCTTGACTCATTTTCAAATTATCTAATACACTTTTATTACAGTCATAGTGTCCACCAATTGGATTTGCAGCAGCCATTACAGTTGTTCGACAAGGTAAAGAACAAATAACTCCACCTTTAGCAATACTTATTGTTTGTTGTTCCATAGCTTCCAGTAATGTATTATGATCTTGAGTCATTTTATCGAATTCATCAATACAACATACACCTTGATCAGCTAAAACAACAGCTCCAGCTTCTAAAGAAAAATCAATACCTTTCTCTCGAGTCAAACTAACAGTTAGTCCAGCTGATGAACATGTACTTCCACAAACAAACACACCCCGTGGTGAAATGTTACATACTGACTGAAGCATTTGTGATTTTCCAAGACCAGGATCACCAATGACTAAAATATGAATATCTCCACGTGTTTGATTTGAAGTACAATTACTTCCACCGAAAAGAGAAAGCAACGTACCAGCTTTCACCATTTCATGACCATAAATACCCGGACATATTGAGTTCACCATCAATTCAAAAAGATATGGTTTCGAATGGAGTTTTTGGATACAATAATAATCTCTCATTGTAAATTGAAATGCAGTACTGGTAACTTTTCCTTTAGACTGGTTTTTATTATTTTGTATAGATACTACTTCAATATATTGCATAAAAATATTAGATTCTTTGCTTTGTGCATATTGTTTACCAGAATTACATAATTTTTTTTTCACAATACCAGTAATAGTAACAACGTCTCCAGGAATACAAGTATAAACCAAATCATTTGTAAGTTCACACTCAACAGTTCTGGGTACTCTTCCACTTTCTCTCTGGTCATCACTTTGTAATTCTTGAACTCTAATAGTTTGACAATTAATAGTTTGGGTAAGTGGTGAATTTCTACAAATAGAAAACGATCGGACACGACATGTAGTATTACTACATTGTTTTGGTTTTAAAAATAAACCATCAGGTTGTTTAATATTTTGAATTGAACCACAAGTATTACACATAAATCCTAACCATAAACATTGAAATTTCAAACTACTGGCTTTTATTACAGTCCCATGAACTAAAATTAATTTTCCATCAGTATCTGCTCTTAAATTTTTCAAATAAAAAATTGGACCAAAATTTATAACTCTGGGATGAATCATTGGTAAATTTTTGAATTTAGTACAGTTATCTTGAATATTTTTATTTAATTCTTCCAATGCATACTGATGAATAGCAAGTCCTAAACATTTCAATGTGTAATTTGGGCGGTTTGTTAAATCATTCCAAAAATATAACCAGACAGAGGTGAAATCTTCATCTTGGTTTAAAGAATCTACATTTAAGAGATATGATTTATTTTCTACAAGTTGTTCAATAGAAATATTTTGTTCGTGTGTATTTAAAAATAGTAAACAAGCAAAAATAAATTTTACTGTTAAGCTATTTTCATCATATTTTTCATTTGGAAAATAAAGCTGCCATCCATGAAATGGACACTCTTGAACATGTTCATTATTAATATTCACATTACATTCAACATGACTAGAATTTTTTAGTTGATTATTTTTATTTATATATTTTTTCCAATATCTGCCACCTCTCCATTTATTTTGATTAGGATTACTCATAACAGTATTCCACAAAATAAACTGAAAGTAATCAAAATTTAATTTAATTACAAGTTTTCATAAATATGATTACTAATAAAATTATGAAATATTTATTTTAGATTAGGTAAGTTTTTTTAAAAATGCATTGTGTTATTAAACATTTTATGACATGTATAATATTAAATACAATCAATAAACAAAACAAATTGATTATAAAAATATAAAACAATAATTAATTTAAATCAAATTTTGTGTATTTTAATAAGAAATTATAAGCCATTTAAAACAATAAATATCAAATAATATAATAAACAATTTAAAAGATTTTTAAAAAAAAAACCTTGTACATCATGATCAAATAATTCTATTTAATTAAATAGATATACTTACTTTGGAAATAAACGGCACAAATTTGATGAAGATATTACAATAAAAAAAAAAAAAAAAAACACTAATAGATTATTATTGTAGTAGGTACCTAATGTGTATACATTTTCAAAGAAAATTGGTAAATAGAAAGTACTTATTTTATGTTGTAAAACTGTATTAATGCAAAAATATTAAATTTTCAACAAAAATTATCCTAACTACTGAGAAGATTACTTTATAGTTGTGACTACTGAAGTACTAATTAATGACTGAAAACAAACACAAATAATTTAAATGAAAATTACAGCATTTGCTACAATAAGTAGCGAACAGTAAGCACTGGCCACTGAGTTAGTGAGTCATAAACTATATAGTAACTATAATAATTAATAATAATAATATTATACTATGTATGAAAAATGAAAATGCTGTAATCTACAATTATAACATCAAACGATCAAATAAGTAATAAGTAATAACATTTATATTCAGTGTTATCAAAGTTTTGAATAATTTCACCAAAAAAAATAAAAATAAAAGCATAATGATAAAAAATGTGCAATTGGTTTTTCCATGGTGAAAATAGTGATAAGATTATTTAAAAACATTGATAAATTATTTATTTACAAATATTCCACGGCTCCACGCTTATAGTTAATTGTTAATTGTTATTTCAGTTGCAATAACGCATTATTCATAAAGTATAATGATTGACTATCAAATAATGAAGTAATGGATACCACAAACTTCATCACCATAGAGGAACTTTACTGTTATTCTATATCTTATAGCAACTAGCAATCAAGGTGGATCTCAATAGCAATTAACGAAAAGCTGTAAGTACATAATATGAACACTATACGCAAGTATACCAACAATTAATTAAAAATCAGTACGGTTCAGGTATGTCTGACATGTAAACCTGTTATACATACAAAAGGATAGTAATTGTAGTTGTACAAGTAAATTATAATTAAAAAAAAAATATTTGTAATAATGCAACCTAAGTATATAGTTATAATTACTAATAATTAATATTGATGTTTTTCTTCATAGTTTTTTATATAAAAAGTTGAAAGACTGAAAACGATTTAAGATGTCTTTGGCAGAAGAGTTACTTGCAGATTTGGAAGAGGATGGCTTTGATGATGTTGAGCCAATGATCATACAAGAAGAGACTTCCAATGAACTGCAAGAAAATACTTTAATTCCTAAACAAACTGGTAATTTTTGTAAGATATATTGTTTGCATACATGCAATAATAATTTTTTAAATCATTTTGTAGATTTAAAAAATACTAAAATTCGTGATCTTGCTAAATTACGAGATTCAGAGCGTTTAGTAAATATAATGCAGCAAATAGATATATTTCAGAATAGACAAAGGAGACCTGAAGATGAATTAGGACCTGTAGAGTCTGATCCAGAATATCTCTTGATCGTAGATGCAAACAATTTGATTGTAGAAATGGATGATGAGATTTGTAATATATTTTGAAATCCAATTTATTGAAAAACATATATACTAATGGTTATTATTTTTTTCAGTAATCATACATAAATTTGTTCGCGATAAATATTCAAAACGTTTTCCAGAGTTAGAGTCCTTAGTTGTTGGCCCATTAGAATATGTACAGACAGTTAAAGAACTAGGCAATACACTCGAACAATCAAAAAATAATGAAGTACTTCCAACATTTCTTACTCAAGCTACTATTATGGTTGTTTCTGTTACTGCTTCAACTACACAAGGGTAAAATTAAGAACTTATAATCTGCTCATGAGGGAATGGCCTTAAAAACTTTCCATTGCGTTGTGCATTAGTTCCTCCTTCATACAACACACCATTCAGTAGACAGTTTCTGACAATTGCCAAGGTGCAACAATCACATTCAAGTGTACATATCAGTGATTGTAATTTTTATATTATAAATGTATACTATAGAATTAATGGCATTTGTTATATTTTTATGTATAATATAAAAAAAATATAATATATCAAAGCCTACTATATATTTCCATATGGCTAATTTAGTGACACAACATATTTATTACTGTGTTGAATAGGATTGTTTGTTTGTATGCCAGAGTTTAAAGACATGTAATTAAAACTTTTAAAAACAATCTAATCTCATTCATGCAATCGTATTTATTAACAAATTGCTGTTTTTATTTATATGAAAAATAATATATTTAGATTAATCTCTAGATGTTTATTATTTATGCAATTTTTACATAAATTTAAATCTAACCATTGAATATTGTTAAAGATATTTTAGATTATTTATTAATCATATAAACTTTTTTATTTTTTATCTTTTCTAGACAACTTTTAAATGAAAATGAACTTTTTGAAGTTCGAGAAGCTTGTGATATGGCTATTGACCTTAATAAATTAAAATTGAAAGTTTATGAATACGTTGAGAGTAGAATGACATACATAGCACCTAATCTTTCTGTTATTGTTGGTGCATCAACGGCTGCAAAAATTATGGGTATATTTATATAGATTTTTTGTATATTTCTATAGAACAGTTTTATTTATTTTTATATTTTTCCAGGTGTAGCCGGAGGGTTGACAAATTTATCAAAAATGCCAGCATGCAATGTTTTACTATTAGGTTCTCAAAAAAAACTTTTATCTGGTTTTTCACAAGTCAACACAATGCCACATACGGGTTTTATTTTTCATTGCTCTTTAGTACAAAACAATCCACCAGTAAGAATTTAATTACTATTAAATTATACATTTAAGTTTACAAATATACTTAATTTAAAATGAATTACTTTTTAGGATTTACGAAGAAAAGCAGCTAGGCTTGTTGCAACCAAAAGTACGTTAGCTGCAAGAGTTGATGCTGCACACGAGAGTCTTGATGGACATATAGGAATGACATTAAAAGAAGATATTGAAAAAAAATTGGATAAATTAACGGTTGTCAAATATATTTTATATTAATTTGTTTTGAATTATAAATAATAATTAATAATTTATAATATTTAAAATTTTTAGGAACCACCTCCAGTTAAATTTATTAAGCCTCTACCCAAGCCGATAGATCCGGGTCGAAAGAAGCGAGGTGGTAAAAGAGTACGCAAAATGAAGGAACGTTATGCTGTTACAGAGTTACGTAAACAAGCAAACAGAATGAATTTTGCAGATGTAAATATTAAAAAATAAATATATATTTAAAGCAATAGTAATATTAACTTTTATTTATATTATATATATTTTTATTTAATTAAGATTGAAGATGATGCATATCAAGAAGATTTAGGTTATACTCGAGGAACCATTGGAAAATCAGGAACTGGAAGAATTCGTCATGCCCAAGTTGATGAAAAAACAAAAGTGCGGATTTCAAAAACACTTCAAAAAAATTTACAAAAACAGCAAGCATGGGGTGGTGCAACTTCAGTTAAAAAACAAGTATCTGGTACTGCATCTAGTGTAGCCTTCACCCCTCTTCAAGTAAGATTGATTTAATTTATATTTTATACTTATAACCTTTTAGTGTTATATTTCGATGTACGTAATTAATACAATATACAAATTAAATTGGAAAAATATCTAAATTATTTAAAATAATATTGTATTAAAAACTACTTAAACTTCTTAAAAGTTAAATTATCTAGTACAAAAATATGTAAATTATTCATTAGTATTGCAAAGATGATTTAAAAAAAAAAAAAAAAGAAAGTTTTTTGTCCTTTAAAAAGTCAAAGAAAAACCTGGTAATACTCAATTATCTATAAAAAATAACAAATCATTATATCTTAGAAAAAAATTACTAAATTTAAAAGAGTAAAATATTTATGATCCTTTTATTACATTTACAAGGTTAGCCAGCATGTTTTTTTTTCATTTTGCTATTTGATTTATAGATTAAAATGGCCTACTATTTAATTTAATTTTATGCTAATAATTGGTGAAACTTAATTATTTAATTAGATTTTAAATGACGAATGTGCCATATTTAGTAGGTAATTTCTAAATGTTACTTTTTATGTAGTTAAGTTATAATCAACAAATATGTTATATATTTTCTTATTCTACTTTAAATAGTGGTGGATAATTTATTAATATTTAGTGATGATTTACCTAATACTTAATAGTCATGCTCAATAAATCATTTTGAATTAATGTTTAAATATTTTAGAAATTTTTTTTGTAAAAGTAAAGTTAATTAAAATTTTTTTTCTTTTTTTAGGGATTAGAAATTGTGAATCCACAAGCAGCTGAAACCAAAAATTCTGGAATAAATTCAGCAAGATATTTTTCCAATACTGCAAGTTTTGTGAACATACATAATAAACAATAATAGAACCTAAATGTTTTTTATTTATGTAATAAATAACTATTTTTTTTTAATTAATTATTTTGTGAATGTGAAAATATCAAATTATGATTCTAATAAACAATGTTCTACATACAAAGGTTAAGAGTATATTTTACTGATAACCTATTTTTGATAAGATAAACAAATATTAATGTAACAAGTTTAGCAAATAAGTTTTAATTCATCAGTTTTTAATTATCTATAGACTGTTAATATAGTCCAATATTATCTATACTAATAATATACATCTATAAAAGTTTAAATGACCATGTATTATTTAAATTCTAGTCCTTTAAAGCATCTTAAATTTCTGAAAAATGTTCATTTCTGTCTTAGAAAAAACAGTAGTTTCCTAATTAATGATAAGAAATATTCATTTCTTAAAGAACTTGGTTTAAATGAAGAAAATGTAGGTGTGTATGATGGAAATTGGGACGCAAATGGAAATGTTAGTATAAAATGTGAGTTTTAGAATTATTTAAATGTTTATAAATTACTCGACAGATTACTACATCGTATTGTCCAGCAAATGGTCTACCAATAGCTACAGTACGTAACGGTAATATTGAAGATTTCAATAGATGTGTGTCAAATGCACTTGAAGCATGGATGATATGGTCGGATATACCGGCTCCTAAACGTGGTGAAATTGTTAGGCAAATTGGCTGTGCATTTAGACAAAAATTAGAGCCACTTGGAAAATTGGTATCATTGGAGATGGGTAAAATCATAATAATAATTGTTATTGTGGTTTGATTTCATAATTTAACATTTATTGTTTTTGTAGGTAAAATTGTTGGAGAAGGTATAGGTGAAGTTCAAGAGTACATAGATATTTGTGATTATGCTGTTGGTTTATCAAGAATGTTTAATGGATCTGTATTTCCTTCTGAAAGACCAAATCATGTTATGTTGGAGCAATGGAATCCATTAGGACTAGTAGGAATTATTAGTGCATTTAATTTTCCTGTTGCAGTTTATGGTTGGAATAGTGCTATCTCCATGGTATTTTTTATTTTTAGTTAAAATTTTTTTTTTTTTTAATTAAAATATCTAATTATTTTAAATTACAGGTGTGTGGTAATGTTGTAATTTGGAAAGGAGCGCCAACTACTTCTCTTACTTCAGTCGCAACTACAAAAATAGTAGCATCAGTATTAGAAAAAAATAATATTCCGGGAGCTGTTTTATCTTTATGTACTGGTGATGTTGATATTGGGGTATCAATGGTTAAAGACAAAAGAGTAAATTTAGTTTCTTTCACTGGAAGTAGTTCAGTTGGCCATCAAGTTAGTACAGATTTTAATTTTATTTGTTTTAGTCTAATTATATTAATTATTACTGAAAATATATAAATGCAGGTTGGTGTAGAAGTGCAAAAACGATTTGGTCGTGTATTATTAGAATTAGGTGGTAATAATGCTATTATTGTTACTCCTGATGCTAATCTTGAAATGGTATCACAATCTGTAGTTTTTGCATGTTGTGGAACAGCTGGACAAAGATGTACTACTACTAGAAGACTAATTTTGCATAAATCAATTTACAACACTGTATTGGTAAATTTAGTCAAGGCATATTCTAATGTTTTAAAAAGATTAGGAGATCCACTTGATATAACTACTCTTTATGGTCCTATGCATTCATTAACTGCTGTTAAAAACTTTAAACAAACAATATCTGAGGCTATTGAAGCTGGAGGACAAATTGAATTTGGAGGAAAAGTAATATTTAATTTTATTAATGAGTAATAGTGTAATATAGTTTTGACAAATTAAATTTTAAATAAAGGTTTTAGATAGAACTGGTTATTTTGTAGAACCTACCATTATATCAGGTTTAAAATATGATTCTCCTGTAGTATGCCGTGAAACGTTTGCTCCTATTGTCTATGTATTGAAGTATGATAATTTGGAAGAAGCTATTGCATGGAATAATAATGTAGATCAAGGATTATCATCTAGTATCTTCACTAATGATGTTGGAACAGTATTCAAAGTATGTATAATTTGCATATATCTGATATATTCATGAAATTCCACCTAGATATTATTAATATTATTTATGTTAAAAGAAAAACTTATTCAATATTTATAATCAGACTGTTCATACTATACACTAATCATCAAGAAAACATGCTGAATACTTTCTTTTTTTTAATAACTATTATAATATTTTTTCAAAAATAGATTTCTCAAAACAATTTTTGTATAAAAGTTGTTTTTATTATAATTTACAAAATTTACAAGATTAAACCTAGTTAGAGTTTTTGTTAATTTATAATTTGTTTTTAATGCTAAATGGTTTTCATAACTTACTCCAAATTTTTTCTCTCTCTTTTTTTAGATTAGATAAACAATAATTAAAGTTAATAAAAGTTTAAAAAAAACAACATATTTATTTATTTTGATTTTATTATTTAACCACCATAAGTCTTCATTTACCTATGACTTGACCGTCTTGACCTCTTAGTGATAAAATATAAATAGTTATTTAATAATATCTATTACCTTAAGAATATGGTAAAAATTTTATTTAAAAAAGATTTTTTGTACATTTTGACTTTTACTAACTCTCTGCAATTAGAATCCTAAATATAAAATTTGCATTACTATTTAAAAACAACATTAATTGTATTGTACAAGCATCTATTGAAAGGGTTAAAATGTTGAAATTTCCCTAAAAAATATGTTTGAGATATTTCATTTACCACCCTAAAATCCTATTTCAATCAGAATTAATCTAGCTAAAATATTAAGTAGTATTTCTTTCTTAATGTAAACATACTAAATATTTTAAGTTTCATATAAATTAAGATTTAAAACTGTTAAATTTGTAAATTATATATGTTATTTATAATTTTTAATAATGTTTTTGTTTAGTGGATTGGCCACAAAGGATCTGATTGTGGTATAGTCAATGTTAATATACCAACAAATGGAGCAGAGATCGGGGGTGCATTTGGTGGGGAAAAACATACTGGTGGTGGACGAGAGTCTGGTTCAGATTCTTGGAAACAGTATATGAGAAGATCAACTATTACGATTAATCATGGATCTGGATTGACATTGGCTCAGGGCATTAAATTTGAATAATATAATATAATGTTGTCTATAAATATTAAGTCATTTATATTGATTTAGAATTAATTAGCAAATATTAAGGTGATATTATTTGTAGAGGCATATTCAAACCATATGCTAATTCGATATTGTTTATATTAAATAAATTTTAAATTTCTACATATTTTCTTGCAATTTTTCAGATTATGTATTCTTAAGATATAGTAAAAACATAATTAACCATCAATGTTGCAAATGAGACATGACGGTTAACAGAAATTTTTGTAATAAATGTATATGTATGCAAATTTATCATTAAAAAAAATAAATTTTGTTGTTAGTTACAATCAATGTTCAATAATGATCACTATAATTTCATCAGCAGCAATTCTTCCTGTTTAGTTACACACACTTTATGAAACTAATCAAAAAATTGATCTATCTAAGCCAGCGGTTCCCAAACTGTGCTCCGCGGAGCCCTTGGGGCTCCGCAATGGTTTCTCAAGTGCTCCGTTCATTATTACACAAAAATGTAATAATTTTAAAATTGTTTAAATTATTTAAAACGAATATATATATGAACGTTAAATATTTCTTGGGGCTCCACGAGAAACTTCTCCTTAAAAAAAAGGCTCCGAGGTTGAAAAAGTTTGGGAACCGCTGATCTAAGCACTTTTATGTGCATAATAGTTTATAGGCAGTTTTGTCATATTTTTTAAATATTTGAATGCACGTAGTTTCTTAGATTTTTCAATCATTGGAAAAGGTAATTAATTTAAGATTGTCAGTTGTATTTGAACATTTTTTGATGATGACAGATTACAGTAAGTGATAGTTAATCGAGTTTCTACTTTATAAGCATTTAATATTTTAAAAACAAATACATAAGTAGACTAATTTTAGCTCACTTTACATTGATTTTTTAGATTGGTCAAAAAAAAACATATAAATTATTTTTAATATTAAGCTTATTCTTAGTTAAATTAATGAAATTATTGATTATTGAACAATTTACATTTGCAAATCTCTATATTTTATGATTTGTATTTAATGTTTCGTTTTTTTGTTAAGATTTCATAATGACATTTCGTAGTTTAGTGTAATAAGTTAATTATATTTTCTGAATTCTAAAACAATTTTCTATTAGATAATAACTAAATGTGTATATTATGCAAAAAATATATAAATTTATACTGAAATTATAATTACAATTCTCAAAATTGTATTCGTTTTTAATTAAATCAGGGATAACACAAATGTTGTTTAAGAGTATAATGTATAGAGTATAATGTATGGTCCGACAACTATTTAAATATTTGATAATGATATTTTACATTTTTACATACTTCTTAAGTATTCTATTTTCTCCTATATAAAAATCTTGATTTAAGTTGCTTAAAATTAATTAGAGATACCTATTATGGAAGAAATGGGGTATTATTACTGATCAAGTTCATTTCTTTGAATATTGCAAAAATGAAATTTACATCCAGTAAATCTATTAAAATGGAGCATTATTTTAGTCAGTTTAAATCTGTTTAAATTTGAGTATGTATATGTATATCATTTGAATCAAGATTCAGAATCAAATTTAGTTATACATAAATTGTACATTTATTTCATAAACTTAATATTTTTATTTATTTATTACATATATACATTTACATATTTTGATTTTTTTTTTAATTCATATAAATTCAAGCTCTGATAATAATTTATCAATTTATTTAAATTTAAAGTTCTCTTTATTATCCCTCTTTGGTCAAACCATCTAATATAAGACCTATACAAGCTTCCAATCAATGTCTTAGAAAAATAACTGGAGCAGTGAAGCCCAATGTTATATGACCAACGATGCACTACATAAGGATCTACAAATTTCAACAGTCAATGAATTAGCAACTCAACACTACAAAAAGTTCCACTCAAAACTATTCAAACCAAACCCCTTGTATTTTTCATATGTCCTCTATAACTATCCCCAGAAACTCTCCAAGGAGATTAAAAAGAAAATGGCCAAGAATCAAAAGATGCTC